CTTGTGGGAGAAACTTTAAAGGATCCAGATTCAAGTTCGACAGTAGCTGGAAAGAAAAAAAGTTACAATCTTTATCTCAAAGACTTCACAGTTAACTAAACATGGGTTCTTAAAAAATTGAGAACTTCATCAGTGATAATGAAAATTCCATATGTACAAGTATAATACAAAATTATTACTAAACATAATTTGCCTCTAGTTGCACACTGAATTAATTATCATGCAGCTGACATGACCATATGCTAAGGGCCTGGGAGGACAAGATTACAATGCAGGGGCCAAACAGGCACTGTAACCTGGAAGAACAGGTTCCAGGTGGAATCCACACAGATGCTGGGACAGGTAGAAAGTGGCAGTGCTGGGACACACAGAGACCTGCATCCATTTGGTGTCACTTGTGCAGGATTTGGGGTGGAGGTGATATGTAAGGTGGCACCTGAAGTATACGGAGAAAGCACACCAGGAAGGAGAAGCGGGAAGTGGGAAGGGGGACAGGAGATGCCTAGCAGGGAGGCAGTGCCCAGGGCCAAGGGAGGTGGGATGGCAGGAGACAAGAATCCAAGTGATCTGAGTACTTTTATTCCATGCTAAGGAATCTAAAATTTCTCTGAAGGCCAAAGGTAAACCAATGACAAAATCAATGACAGGAGCTTGAAAACAAAACTTGTCAAGCAACAGTTTATAAGCTGCAACTTGCGTGACTCCTCCTAGATGAGTTCAGACTGTGGCCATGAAGCGGAGAAGCAGTGGAGGCCTCAGTTTTTCAAGCACAGCTTCAGCCTGCCCCTGAGTCTCAGGGGAGACCCCGGAGCGAGGGTGCTGAGCCAGGGCAGAGATACACAAGCTTCTGAGGCTTTTAGAGTTAGGAAGCATGACGAACTGAGGCCTAAGTATATCCTTTATTGGAAATTTTAAATTTTCACACCTTTCATTTGATGTTATAAAACATGGAATGGAGGCTCTATTACCCAATGTAAGGAAAGAGATGTCATTTGCTTTTTATGATTTATTTCAAAAATCAATTAATATAAATTTAAATCATAAATTTTGGGAACATACCTTCTCTTACTTCTCTAGTTATACTTTTTTCCAACTCTTGCCGCATCTGAAATAAATCAAACAGTATTCATACTGTTAAAAGTAAAGAAGAGACATTTTCTTGGGAATATTATGTATCACTGAGAAAATTTGCCCTTTAAGACTTATAGAGACAAGCTCTAACCTCAAGAATGCTTTAAAAATTACATAAGTAAAATCCTTACTTTTAAGTTTAGATAATAGACAATACATACACGCAGTGCTGTTAGGTAATCTCATTGGTCTATTAAAGGGAAAAAGTGAGAGAAAGTTACTGTAACCCAGGGCGGACAATGTATCTAAAGGTGTATCTTATTACAATTGTCTTGTGTTTTACATATTTTTTTGGCCTATGTTAGTCTGCTTTTTAATCATTATGTCTGGTATAATTTTCTAAATTATCAATAAATGAATCTGATGCTGGCAAAAATAAAAGAGGGTGGGGGAAAGGGGAAAAAAAGAATTGAAATGTGTTAAGTGCATGTACTGATTCCCTACAACTAATGTAATCATTATGTGTGGCAAAGATGTACTAATAAAAGTCAAAAAAAGGAAAATATCAGTCTATTAAATATAAAGATAATATTTTATTAAAGCAAAGTATAAAGCTCATATTTTATACTGAATGCATTATTTTATAGTTTTTTGGGGGGGTACTGGAGCTTGAACTCAGGACCTTGCACTTGACAGGCAGGTGTGGCACCACTGAGCTACATCCCCCACCCTAGTTTATAATGCTTAGCAAAACTTTTCCTATTATAAAACTTTAATCAGTTTTTTCACTTTAATAGATTTTTCCTGAAAGTTAACTCTACTTTCCCCTACTTTTAAAATAATTAAAAATTAAACATATATTGTTATTAATTTTTTAGCACAGAATCTGAAATACAGAAATGGAGAAAGTGGTATTGTTATAATAGCATGCAAAAAAATCTATTGGCAAAATATTTAAAATACAGAGAAAGATTTCAGAAAGTCTGCTTATAAAGGATAAACATGGGTTAGAGCCAGTTTTCAAACTTTCTTTGGTTCATCACTTTCTAGAAATGGAAACAAGGAAAACAATATACAGCTCTTTTTTTTTTTTGGTACTGAGGATCGAACTCAGGTCCTTAATGCTTGCGCAGCAGGTGGTGAAACCACTGAGCTAAATCCCCAGCCCCAATATACAGCTCTTACTGCAACTTTGTTATCTTTTCAGAAGTTAGGAGTCAATTCTTTGGAAACATATGACTAATTACAGTTTGCTAGAAATGTGTGGGAACACGCCAATCTATTTTGCACTTTCCCCAGCTAACATGTGGTTACTCAAATCTTTTTTACAAAAGCTTTTTTCTTACTAATGCTCCAAGCATGGTGGAACCTAGCACACACAACATAATAATATTTTGTGGTAGCAATGATAACGTGATATTCAATGCCTTTATGAATTTTAGGTGTGAAAAGTTTCTTGGGACAGGTTTCCCAATATTTCAAAAGACTGTTTTCTGTCACATTTCTGCAGCAACAGGATTACAGACAAGTGTGACAAAAGTAACGAATACCAGAAGAAAGCAGAAGCTTTATTAAAAGAATCTTATATTACCACTAATTAACACCATGTAAAATGTAAATCATACTTTTACAAGACTTGAATTAAAGAACTACCAATTATCTTTTCCTACAAAAGTGCTTTCCTACTTTCTTCATATAAGTAATAAATTTTATGTCTTTGTATCCCATCCTCAAAAACTTGTAATACATAAATTTGGCTTGGATAAAAATGAAATACTTTCCTCAAAAGATTGTTTACTTTTGTGAAGAACTATTTTGTCTTTCTCCTTACTTCTTTATCTTACTTTCTGCATTGCTGATACAAAATACCTGACAGCAAAAGTTAAAGGAGGAATGGTTTGTAGCTCACAGTTTGTAGGGGTTTCAACCCAGAGTCAGCTGGCTCCAAGGCAGAGGGGCATCACAGAGGAGAAACAGTTCATGGCATGATAGGCAGAAGGCTGAGCCTGCCTTCATCTTTCCCTTTATATCTCACCCATGCTACAAACCTATTTGGTTGGTGTCACCCACGCCCAGGGTGGGTCTTCCCATTATCCACATTCAGAACTATGCTAAACTAATCAGTGGTCTAATTTAGTTGCTACACACCCTTAATCCATATTCACACACCCTAGAATGGAAAAGATCCACCTATGAGTGCATAAGGCTTAGGGGGACATCTAGACATGAGTAATAACACTCTGTGTGTGTGTGTGTTGGAGTCTGAAACCAGGACCTTACACATGCTGAACATGGACTCTACCACTAAACGATATCCCCAGCCCTGTAATGAAGACATTTTAGCTCTCTAGATAGCAAATACTTGTGGTATAGCAAATTTAAACCACAATCATTGTTTTTTCTCCTCTTAAAGACTATTTGGCAGAAAATGTCTCTGTTCCAGCCATGAATGGCCTCCACCTCCATAAATTCTCCTCTAGCATTTCACTGACACTTGAGTACTTTATCACATAAATGACAGCTGAGGCCAACTGATTTTCAGGAGAGAAGAAAGCTTAGAGGGGAAAAAAGACACAGGACATGGAGAGGGAGGGCTGCTCTGAAAGTGACCCCCAAAGCTCACTCAAGGTCATGAGAGCAGAAGGCTCCAGCTCTGTCCTGGTTGGTGGGAGGTTGGGGTGGTTTGGCTCACAAGTGAAAACTGACTATTTAGTGAATTTAGAAATGTCCCTTTAATTCTCACTTTCCCATTAAATCACAGTTTCCTTACATTTCCCTTAATATAAATTCAGAATTTTTATTCCCAGTAGAATGGCTTACTACAGTGCCCAGAAGATATTATAAAAAATGTCTTGTTGACACTAATCACTATCTTTTCTGCTAGATGGGGTGTCATCAAAGGCCTCTGACCTGTGTCAAGGAACAGGTTAGCAGAAACTGAATGTTGCCAGGAGAAATAAAAGAGCCTGATACATTGCTAATGTTTACTTTATGTTTACTACTAAATCAAAAGGTATATTAACTCTTGTGAAGTAAAATATATATAAAATATATAATATATAAAAATACATAATATGTAAAATATATAAAATACATACATATATATATTTGTATTTAAGAAAACACCCTCCTTTCTCTGTAGCTCGATGTTTATATCTCGGTGAGGATTGTGCTTCCAAGGCTGGAGAAGGCAAGTCCAGCCCTAACAAGGGAAGCAAGTCTGCAGCATCTTTTATACTTGCCATTTCCAAAAACATAAGGTGACAAAATTGTGCACAGCAGAACAGTGCACCGTGGCATTCAGCTTATTAGAATTCTCTCACAGCTGCTGGTTTTCAAACTATGTCGGCAGAATCCAAGGTTCCATTGAAGACTGCAGAATGAATGGAGAACAAGTCCTCCTTTAGAGCCTCCATCCCTTCTTCAGCCAGACAGTTCTACTTCTCCTTCATATAACAGTTTCATGCAAACATTTTTTTCTTTAAAAAAGTTCTACTTGAAAAAAAATTTTTTTTTGGTGCCAGGGATTGAACTCGGGACCCTGCAGTTGCGAGGCAGGGGGCAGAACCACTGAGCTAAATCCCCGGTCCTTGAAAATGTTTCCTATAAAGTTGTGAAAGTCCTTGAAACACGAGCCACCAAAGGCTCAGAGAGGTCATAACTTGCTGAAGTCACAGAGCCAATGGGTCAGGCTGGAATGGGATTGGAGGCATCTTGCTGAACCTGGAGTTTTATACAGTTACTTCTCTCATATTCAGGAAACATTATACATTTTTAAATCACCTTAGAGAAAATATGTAAAACTGTCATGGAGCTCAATAATGTTGTTCAATGTGAGAGAGACATTAAGAGTAGCTCTCTCGGGCCGGGGATTTAGCTCAGTGGTTCCGGTGCCTGCCTTGCAAGCACAAGGTCCAGAGTTCGATCCCTGGTACCAAAAAAAAAAAAAAAAAGAGCAGCTCTCTAATAAGCCGAGTTCTAAAATTATGAATATAGATAAAGCAACAAATTAATATGAATTGTTAGTAGCCATTAAATACACTCAATTTTGAAGTACAATTTAAAAAAAAAATCACAGAACAGGGAACTTGAAGGAGAAAAATCAAAACTTGGTTCACTCAAATCATCTGACGAATTATCCATGTTTTGGGTTATTTACAGCAAAATTAAAAATACAAAACACATTTCTCTTTATCATCTAGCATACATCTAGCTACTTCTCATCACGACTTGAGATATACAAAGACATGGCTTAATCTGAATCTTAGTCCTGGCACAAATGACAGAAGAAGCACCATATGGACTTAAGAATCTCTTTGCCTCCCTCTGGGGAGCAGTGGCTTCCAAGGGGTGATGGAGGATGAGGCACCATAGACTCCTTGCAGGGACATCCTGGTAGCATGAAATCAGGTCTGTTGTCTCTGCGGTGAGCAGCTGCTGCTGGGACAGATGCCAGGTGCTTGTTTCTTCCACTAACAAGTGTGTGCTTAAGTGTATGATCCTCGGTGAGGCACTCACACACCCACATCTGCCCATGAGTTATGTGCTGGCAAAAAAGCTCCAATGTCGATCCTGATCTATCTGACCTATGTTCTAAGTATAGACAGAGGGAGGTCATTTTCTGCTACCTCACTGCAGTCCCAACAAGAAAGATGATGATATAACCCTTATATCCATGTTTTCTTCTACCTTGACTTGAAATATGCTAAATCTAGGCACTGTATTACTTATGTCTACATACATCAATGAATTCATGCAGTTGTCACAATTCTGAACAGAAGTTAAAAATATGTATGAGGAAGCCACAGAAATTCCCCAGGTCTTCTGACTCTCCTTTCAATGCTCATCCATCAGACCAGTTATTTCTATGCTGTAAATATTTAAGTACTACATCTAGGTCAATTACACTTATTGAATAAGGTTAATGAGTATCTCTTGAAAAATGAGAGCTACAGAGACTTTTTAAAAAATTGTAAATTTCTGTTTCCTTTCTTTATAGTAACTCATATTAGTGTGATCTTTACTTAACATGTGTAAGTCAACTAACTAAACACAGTATTTCATCAGATTAACCCCTCCCCCTGGGATCAAACCCAGGGCCTCATGCATGCTAGCCCAGTGCTCTACCACTGAGCTACTTCCCCTGCCCAGTATTTCACCAAATTAACAAGAATTAAATCAGAAATCTGAGATTCAAAAGAAACTATCACTCACCTTGGTCAGGTAGCTCTCAATAATGCTGGTGTTTGAAGGCTGTAGGTTTAATGGAGGAACCACTAAGTTTTCTCTGGGAAGAAAACTTCTCTGGAACACCAAACTATGATTAAGATTTCCAACACAAGGACATTCTAGGACAGGTCTTGTACTAACTGTGCTCAGTAAAGACCTGTTTTGTTGTTGCTCCACCAGAAGTTTGGTATTGGCCTCTTCTAGCCTCTCATTAGCCCTGCGAAGATTACAAAAGGCAAATACTAAGTATCTCAAGCAAGTGTGCTCACTGAGGCAGATGGGTGAGTATACAGAACATTCTTGAAATCCTAGGGACAGTTACGTGCTGTGCAGCACAACAAGCTACACTGCTTAAACAGAAGTTTTGATATATTGGGAAGGAACATAGTGCAGTACAAACAATTACACTGCTTGAACAGAACATTCTGGGGCAAAAACATGGGGGGGGGCTGGGGGCTTGGCAACAAAGGCCTGCCCTATTGTGCATTAGGTCTTTATCACCTTAACACTGAAAATGTATCACAGCGTGCCTATCACAGAACAATTAAAAGTGTTCTAAAGAAGTACATATATTTGTAGTGGAATTCCTAACAAGTAATTCTAACAAATCAGGAAAGAAATGGCTGCCAGTGGTGTCTGGCTTAATGGGAAACACTGCTACTTCCTCTAAGAGCTCTACTTCCAAGATTCCTGAGGAAGCCACTAGAAACACTTGGATTCAAAGGATCACTATGAGAGATAATGGACAGGTTAATTAGCTTGACTGCAGAAGCCATTCCATTCTATATAAATATATACATCTGTAATCTCAGCACTCTGGGAAGCTGAGGGAGGAGGATCACAAGTTGGAGGCAAGCCTGGGCAACTCACTTACTGAGACTGAGACCCTGTCTCAAAATAAAAAAAATAGAAAAAAGGTACTTATGTATGTGTGTGTGTCTGTACAACATGCAGACATAGGAAAACATTATGTTGTTCTCCTTACATATATACAACTCAAAAATAAAACTGAAAAGTTAGAAGTGTTTGTATTTAGTTAACCAGGTTAGGGGTTTAAAAAACCATTTCTTAAAGATATTTTCAAGTGGTTGCTTTCCCACCTGCATATTCACCCCATTACCTGGCACTGAGAAAGTAATTCAGAGCAGCCATGTCCAGGGGAGGAGACTGCGGGCTCAGTGATCACAAAGAACCAGGGCTGCTCCTGGCCGGACACCCCTACAGAGGCACAGCAGGTGGGCCCGCCTCTTCTGTCTTCCATCCACTCCGCACACTAATTCACACTAGTGAGCTATACTTCTGCTTGTCCCTGTGTGAATCTTTCCCTGTATCACAATATGACTTTATGTAGAGTAGAAGAAACATACAGTACAGTTTGTCTCCAGGCAGCCTCTAGTGATAGCACTAAAGATCACAGTCAAGGAAAGTTATTTTATCAAGTGGCAGAATGCACCCAGAGCAGCTGTAGTAGTAGTACTTGACCTTCTGGGTTTATGTTGTAATCTTCCAAAACTAAAGTTAGTAATAATTCTACTTAAATGAATGCCAATATGTAATAACAACATAACTGTCTTAAGTATAAGACATAAAAAATAGCTTAATGACTAGATCAGATTACCTAAATAATACTAAAACCAAGCTGGATGTGATGGTACACACTTGTAATCCCAGCACTCTGGAGGATGAGTTGGAGGCCAACTTGGGCTACATAGTGGGTTCAAGGCCATCCTGGACTGCAAAGTGAGACCTTGTCTCAAAAAGCCAAAAACCAGTAAAAGGGGGAAGAAATATAAAGTTTCTTAGACTAACATTTTGAAGATAAGTTCATTTACTTATTTTATTTTCCAAAATTATACTAATTAGCATTATATCCTACTAATTTCATGAACCTGTCTCTAAAAATTATGCTTTAGAGATAAATTAATGAGCTTAACTTACTTTCTATGATTCTGTTTTGACTTACTTGTTTAGTTTACTGGACAATGACTTTCTAGTATTGAATTCTTCTAGATAGCATTGCCTATATTTTTCCAATTGTATTTTATTAGACTCTTCTTGAGTTTTCATTTTAGATACCTCTGATTCCAGGTCTTTAATTCTGAGTTCCATCTGACTTCTCATGGAAGCATTATTAGTCTCTCTTAATTGCTGTAAATTTTCTTGAGATGCTGCTTGTGTCTAAAGCAAATTAAAGGATATATTTTAAAAGTAATTATACCCCAATTACAAAAGGTGATCAAACTATGCAGTGAATGTTTCAATTCAAAAATTTTATTACAGTAAAAAACACAATGCCATGAATCCCCTTCAAAATACTTCCCCTCCATTTGAACGCCACTTTCTGAAGCAGTTCTGGAAATCCTCTTTCATGAATGTCTTTACAAGGTGTGATTAAAAACACAGTAAATGCTGCTGCTGAGTGCCATCCAATGGAAAGGCAGGCTCAGAACAACATTATGATGTGTCCTCATCTACCTTAGCCACCAGATCTGGCACTATGTGCCTTCAGGCTCTTTCCCAAATTCAAAATGACCATGAAAAGAAAACATTTTGCATCAGTCCAGGACATCAAAAACAGCCATGACAGCACAACTGAGGGTGCTCATGAAGGAAGACTCCAGAAATGCTTCAAAAAGTGGCAAGAATGATGGAACAAGTATGTTCAAAATGAGGGAGAGTATTTTGAAGGAGACTCATGTGTCTCTTTTATTGTGATAAAATTTAAAAAATATTTAAAACATTCACTGTACATTTTGATCATAACCCATAGTTATTTTGTACTTATTTCCTTTAGTTTTGAGCCAATGATTCAGAAGGGAATTTTATATATGTAAAAAAGATGCTGGAGGGCCAGGAATTTAGCTCAGTGGCACTGTTGCCTGCTCTGCAAATGCAAGTTCCTGAGTTTCACCCCTGGTACTGCAAAAAAAGAAAAGGATGCTGGAATTTATCATCAATAGTAACTGCATTAAATCTGAATTATAAAAATTTTGAATCTTTTTTTTTCTTCGTGGTGCTAGGAATCCAACCCAGTGCAAGGCAAGCACTCCACCTCTGAGCTCCATCCTTAGTGGGTTTTTTTTTGGTACAGGGGTTTGACTTTGGGACCTTGCACTTGTGAGGCAGGCAGTGGAACCACTGAGATAAATCCCCCCGCCCTCCCATCCTTAGTCTTGAGTCATTCTTAATACTCATGTAATCTGATCATTCAAAGATAGAAACAATTACAAAACTTAAAAACTGAACAAGGTGACAATTTAAGAGTACTGTATAACTGTCAAACCACGTTTTTCTCTGCTTTTAACAGTTTTATGTCCATTAGTCTTAAAAATACAATTCTCTAATAAATATCATTATTCTGAGAGATCAATATAGTTATAATGAAACAGAAATATTTAATCAAAGACAAGATGTCATTTTCCTCCTAGAAAATCCACAAAAGTTATAAGTAGAAGAAATATTTACAATATAAACATTCAAAATATAATTTTCATGAAATTATTTCAGCACATTAAAGATAAATAAGTTAACCTGTAAAAATAGATTGACTTGTTTTAATTTTTCTACTAAATCTCTCCTGGCTCTTTCTTCAATCTCCTGCTTATACTGTTCTGCTTGGCCATGTTCTAGCACATTCTTCTCCATGTGACTTCTCAGGTTAACCACTTCTTCTTCCAACTTCTTTTCTTTCTTCTCTAGTGTTTCACACTTCTTTTGTATATTTTTCATAGATAATAACTCCTGCTGGAGTAAATCATTTTTATCCAGATGTAGACATTTGGATGATGCAGTTTCCAGTTTTGCTGCAAGATCATCAACCTGCATGAATAAAATAACACAGGTTGGTAATGAAGGAAGTAGGCTGAAAATAGAATCAAAATTTCTGACATAGGGCCAGGGATTTAGCTCAGTGGCATGGCACCTGCCTCAGAAGCGCAAAGTCCTGAGTTTGATCCCTGGTACTGAAAAAAAATCTGACATAAATTCACTTTTAACAAACATTAACTGTACTAGATTCTTAGAAGATATTCCCTTGAATTACTCAGAAAATGAACACAGTTGAAACCAGCAGGAGTCAGAAAAATATATTGTTTACACTCTTTGTCACAAAACATGTGCACTTGACCTTGGACTCTATTTTTCTAGGATTGTTTCATTTCTGTCCTTCTTAACATGGCTGAGTCACCTCTTAGTAGCACAACTAATCAATGTTACCAGAGTAAGCATTTGAAAATAAGACTTTAATTAATGACTATGGTATGTATGGATTTTAGTTATAAGCCTTTCCCTGAATTGCAAATGTTTTATGTTAATTAGAATTACATTCTAGAATATCTCTGGATTGGACATAAGTGGAAGCAGAAAGGACCTAGAAAAGAAAGCAAACCCAAAGAGCTCCAACAGGACTGTTAGTGGAAGATCGGTGGCCCTCAAAGAGGCTGAGAGGAAGGGCTTTGAGGCCAGTGAAGGAAATGACACAGATACCTAAAGAGAGAGGACTCTGGCTACATAGCAGAGGAAAGAAAAACTGCTGAGAGATGAGCTAAAGAGAGACTTGCTGAAAACCAGGATTTACTGGGTTCAAATATCTGCTTCTCATTTGTAGCCTCTCGACATGTCAAAGAATGCTAACATTTTTGCCAAGTAACACTAATATATAATAATGTGAAATAATGCTAAAATAAATGGCTTTTGGGATCAGATCAAATCCAGGTGCTGCTGGGAACACATGGTCTAAAGATGAAGAGAAAGCCATGACTACAAAACCCTTTGGTAAGACTTCACAAAGGTTTAAGGCTGTGCCTCAAATGCCCTTAAGGATTTCAGGGCATAAAAAATCTTAATGGAATCACCTTAGTACAGCTTCACAGGAAGCCTGAGATGGAGAGCTTAAGTCAAAAAGATTTGTAAAAGTAGCTCCTCACAGGGCATGAATCCAACAAAATTTACAGAAAATGCAAAATTGTTAAGAAAATGTAGTAGCAAAAGCACTACTCACCAGCTTGAACTAAGAGACAAAACAGTGAACATGAAAAAAAACTGATTAACTACACTTTGTCAAAATTAAATATGATTGAAAACACACCACACCAAGAAAGTGAAAAGGTGAAGCTAATGAGTGGCAAAAAATATCTGAGAATCATGTATCTGATAAGGGGTCTATGCCTAGGATATATATAAAGGACTCATAATTTTAAAATAAAAAAGACAACCCAATTTAAAAATGGAGAAAGAATTTAAATAGACATTTCTCGAATGAAGATGTACCAATGGCCAATCAGCTTATGAAAACACGTGGTGAACGCCAACTCCTTAGTCACCAGGAAAATCCAGGTGAAAACCACAATGAGGGGTCAGGTCACTTCACTAGAATGGAATCTTTCTTCCATCAAAAAGAAGGTCTGTGTGTGGCAAGGACGCAGAGAAACTACAACTCTCGTACAATGCTGGTGGAATGTGAAATGGCACCACCACTTTGGTAAACAGACTAGTACTGCTAGTTTCTCAAAAAGTTAAGCACAGAGTTACCACATGACTCAGCAATTCCACTCATCAGCCAAGAGAAATGAAAACAGGCAAACACAAAAACCTGTACATGTATATCCATCCATAGCAGCATTAATAACTGTCAAAATGGAAACTATTCCAAAAGGTCATCAAGTGATGAATTAGAAATCCAGTAAGAGGGCCAGGAATTTAGCTCAATGGTGTCACTGCCTGCTCGAAAGCACAAGGTCCTGAGTTCAATGCCCAGTACCGAAAAACAAAATCAAACAAACAAAAACCCCAAAAGGGGATATTACTTAGAAGAAGAAATTAAGTACTGATACCTGCAACATGAATAAATCTTGAAAACATGCTAAATGAAAGAAGACAGTCCAAAAAGAAGCCAGAGCACACATTCTGTGAGGACTTTGATACAAAATGTCCAGAAGGAGCAAATCTACAAAGTACATCAGTGGTTCTCTGAGGCTGGGCAGGGAAGGTGATGGCTAAAGGGTATGAGTTTTCTTTTTAGGGTGAAAGAATGTTCTAAAACATTGGTGATGATTGCTAATTCAGTAAATATACTAAAAGCCACCAAACTGCATACTTTAAATGACTGAATTTTAAGATATTTTAATTTTAAGATATTTAAGAATATATTTAAGAATTTTAAGATTTAAGGTATGTCAACAGCATTTCAATAAAGATGTAACCCCCCCCCCCAACAAATCCATCTGGTACACATGATTTGGGGTCATGTAATGGTGTATAGGTTCGTTTTATATCATTAGCCAGGGCTTAAAACAGTATGCCTTTTTAATAGAAAAGTGGTACATTTTTCATTGATGGCAAGTCTATAAAGTAAAAAAAAAAAAACCCCTTCATCTCACTGCTCAACATACTGAGAGATTTATAGTTCCCCAAACCAAGCAGTTTTTGCTTCCAAAACTAATTAAGAATTACCTTGTGTATTGCCAGCACCAAAAAAAAAAAAAATTACCTTGTGTATTAGCATGTTAATTGGAATATCCAATTCACTGGATTTTAAATCTCCATGAAAATAGAAGTCTCCATTTTCCTGCTCATTTAACTTTGTTTTTGTCATTTTAAAAAGTTTCTTAAATCTGCAAGAATGTACAAAGTGAAGTTCTAAAAGAGTATTGTTTAAGCAGATATTATGTTCTATCATAAAAGAAGTAAATCTAGAAATTATGACCCTCCTTCATTTGTTTCCACCTAACATTTTTGAAAAGCATTCTGATGCAATTATAATCTTAGATGAATAATATGCAGAAAGTTTATGATATATGTGTGACAGGTAAAGAGCTAACACTGTAACCATATACAGGATTCTTATAATTAATATCCACTTTGCCATGTGACCATAAAAATGAACTTCTTATTGTTAGCTAAAGCCCAGTAACCAAGGTGAAAAAAATATACTTATATAAATATATTTATATAGGAATGCTTACAAAGATAAAAAAATACACTTTGGCACCTTTTAACCATGGTGAACAGGAGTGGAGATGTAGCTCAGTGGTAGAGAATGTATTCCCCACGTACAATGACATAAGTTAAATCCCAGACAAAAAGCAAAAGAAAAGGAAACACAACATCAAAGAGATCATTCAAAATAGAAAATAGACAAGAGGAAGCACGACCTTTGAAGTCTGAGTTGGAGAGGAAAAGAAAAGAGGCAGAGTTTAGGAGAAAGGAGACCAGCAGAGAGATAACGGGTAGACCAGCAGGTTGTTTCAAGAAGCCATTTCAGCCTTCACTACAAAAATGTTGATGAAATGCAAAAGATACAAAACAATATAAAGACAGTTGAAGGAGAGAAAGATATTGATTAGAATCATAAATTATTATTTGTTCACAAATAATAGAAAAGCAGCCATATTGGGGACTTCAAGACACTGGAAAACATTCCATTTTCTTCATCTGGTGGTAGAAACATTTGCATCTGTAAGTCATACATGCATTTTGTGTATAATGAGCCATATATATAGTCACCACTTTCTATCTGTAGGTTAGCCAATCACTATTGACTGAAAATACTCAGAAAAAAACTCTGCATCTGTACTGAACACATACTGATGTTTTTTCTTGTAATAACTCCCTGAATGATATAACAATGACTTACATAATATTTATTTTATATTATATTGAGTAGTGCAAGTAATCCAGAGATGATATAAAGTGTATGGGAGGGTTGAGTAGGTTATATGCAAACACTACACCATGATATAAAAGACACTTGAGGGTTCACAGATTTTGGTACCTGAGGGGGTCCTGGAACCAATACTCTGAAGACATCAAGAGATGACTGTACATTATTTATGTAGTATATGTGTGTGAAGACACACACACACACACACACACACACAGAGCAAACAGAAGGTTAATAATATGTATAGCTCACATACACATGGGAGTACCCATGCAAAAGAAGTGTAATTCTGTGATAGATTTTATAACTAAAAAAAGAAAGCAGTACCCAAAAAAATAAGATAAATCAAGATTAATTTTAGTGTTGTTAAAGATGATATAGGCTGTCTTTAGCTTTAGCAGTGAAATCATTTAATGAATGGTTGCTAAGATTTGACATATAAAAATCTTACCCAGTTAGCTCTTTTTGTAATTCACCATTTTTCTTCTTTTCTTGATGCAAAGTAAATTCCAGAGATTCTGTTAACTCAGAAAGTTTCTTTAATTGTTCTTTATCTTCCGACTTTGAAAAACAATTTAAAATCTTGTTATGCTACATATATGAAAAGTATGGTAATAAAACAGGACTAATTTATGTGAAATCTAGAAAAAATTAGTTTCCCATGTTTTTTCAGAGAAACATTAGTCAGAACACTCTAGTGCCCCTGATAACATGTCTTAGTTTGCTTTTCTCATTGCTGAGACAAAAACCACCTTCAACTTAAGGGAGGAAAGGTTCATTTAGCTCACAGTTTGTAGAGGTTTCAGTTCATAGTTGGCTAGCTCCCAGGCACCGTGGCATGGCAGCGGGACATCGCAGAGAAGACAAGCAGCTGCAGTAGCAGCAGCAGCAATAAGCAACAAGTGACAAGCCTCTTTCTGTCCCTTCTATCTTATCCAGGCTACCCACCCTCAGGATCCCGTCCTTGATCCCAGAATTATGCCAAACCAATCAGTGGACCAATTTAGTAATCACACCTTTAATCCCAGCATCACACACTCTAGATTCAGCCACCTCTGAGAAAGCCCCACCCACGACCACATGAGGCTTTGGGGGACATCTAGACACAGCCAGAACAACATGCATCTCTGTGTTGGAGCTGCATGGATTAAGTTGCTGCGACTTTAAGAAATCATTTGGTGGAAGGAGCTGGCTCACAGCTCCAATTCCTTGCACACAATGCATCCTGTGACCCTAATTTCCACACAGGAGAGCATGAAAACAGGAGACTCTGCTCTGCTTGGTCAACAGTTACATGGTTTTCATTATACATCAGCAAACTGTCACCAGACTTGTACATCAATCTTCTGGACTGTTATTTCTTTGAGTAGCTGATTAGCTCAAATGGCTGGAAAAAATTCTGAAAGTACAATGCTAGCAGCACTAGTTACTCTGTAAGGTAAACAGCCATTTCTACTTTTTTACTAACATCTTTTTCCTTTTCTTACAGTCAAAGAGAAATAAATGTTTCTTTGGGAAAAAATGATTGCCTAATGATCTAGTATGTATTCTTTGTTGTTTTTTTTTGTACTGGGGATTGAACTCGGGTCCTTGCGCTTGTGAAGCAGGCGCCAGAATCACTGAGCTAAATCCCTGGCCCTTTTTTTTTTTAAGTTCTTCATTTTTTAAAAAATTTTTATTTTTTGGTACCTGGGATTGAACTCGGGACCTTGAGCTTGTGAGACAGGCGGCGGAACCACTGAGCTAAATCCCTGGCCCTAGTATGTTTTCTTGATAAGAATATAAATTACAAGTATTATACTCAAAAGCTCACAAAAAGGCTTTGATTCCAAGAGAAATTCAAAATTCAAGATTACATAATTAAATTTCCTAAGTTATTGTAAAATATTAGTTAGGACTCAGAATATATAGTTATATATCAATGTCCAGAGCAGCATTATTTCCAACAAAATGTGGAAATAACTTTCAGGTCCATTAATGGATAATGGATAAACAAAATGTGGTATATATAAAATATTGATTATAGATTATCACAATCTTTTTAATTAAAATATTACTGCCAATCTCATTAACTGTATAAATTCAACTACCTGCTATAAAGTTGAGGACTTCACTATTAGTAGAGCAAGTAGTATCAATATGATTATGACAAATATTTTTATTAATGAGATTTTTCTTACTGCCTGAAATATTCCTATAAGCTACCGGAGAAATAAAAACTCCTTTTCACAATGATAGAATTTAAAAAGAGACTGACTTACCAAATTTGCACTTAACAGGTTTTTCTGAAGCTGTTCAGTTTTTCCTGCTTGCTTTTTAATTTTCACTTTTAACCTGGAATTTTCAAGTTCAAGCCTAAAATATTTATTTGAAAATAATTATTTTCATGGACCTATTTTTTTTTTAAAAATCACATAATTTTTGAACATTTGAAAGAATACACATAATCTTAAAAATTGGAAAAACTAGATGATTTGGTAATTATCATTGTTCTAGCTGTGGTCGTGGTTAACTTTTCTTCTGCAGTGTTGTGGATTGAACCCAGGGCCTCATATGTAAAGCTCTCACCATTGCACTATCTGCACAGCCCTAAATTACACATTCCAAATAACTTTATGAGCGCTAGAATTTCACATGGTTTGACAGAGATTTATTGATTAACTGATGTTTTTCTCATACTATATTTCTCATTTGCTTTATAAATACTCAAGTTATTTGTATGCTGCTTTAAATTATACTTTTGTAGATATTCTTGCATCTTCTCAGCACACTGCGCAGCCTCTGTGTGTCGATTCTGTTCTTCTTCCAACTAAAAAACAAAATGAAACAAGAAACAAAAAACTTTACTAATAACCTGTCCACTACCAGTTTTCACGCTACAATTGTAAAGGAACACAGCCACAGTGCTCCACCTCCACACTGTTTATAATTATCTCTGTGCTGCAACAATAGAGTTAACTAAATTTTTGAAGCAAGGATCCTCTGCCCCACAAAGCCTAAAATAACACTATCTGGCCCTTTACAGAAAAGTTTGTTGATCTCTGCTCTAAGTCTGAAACACACTATTTCTGATTTTAGCTATGTCACTATAGGTACTCAAACTGACAGAACTGGAAGGCAGGCACAAGTGCTATGTGCCTGGAGCCCCAGCTACTCAGGAAAGTGAGTCTCCAGACCAGCCTTGGCAATAACAGGGAGATCCCTGTGTTGCAGTAAAAAAACCAAAAACAAAAAAAACTTGGTAAAATGGGGAAAAAGAGGAAATCCTTTACTCATGTTGTCCTTTTAGTTGTATTTTTATATTACAAGCATTATACTGTACTTTTATATTTTCGTATTTCAAGTACCATTCATCAACCATGATTTGAAAAATTCTTACATATGCCCGACAAAAGGTATGTCAGTGATACTAAAATGAACATTATCCTTCAGTAACATCTAGATGGCCCCTGAAACTGTTTGAGAAACAGTATCTACACAGAAGCCAGAATGCCTGGCCCTGAGTCCCAGCTCCACCAGTTACCAGCAGTGGGACAGTAAGAAGATGAACTTTGTCTTGTTTTCTTCATCTATGCACTGGAGATAACAGCATCTACACCTCACTAGATGGCTGGGAAAATTAAATGAGGGAATATACACAGAGAGCTTAGAAGTGTGACACACAGTGAGCTATATAAAATCTTTGCTATTTGATAAAATCTGATATTTTAGGGAAGCTGAGGCACAAGGTTGCCTAGGTCAAGCCCAGCCTTGATAATTTAGTGAGACCATTCCTCAAAATTTAAAAAAGGAGCTGGCCTTGGTGTCACACACCTGTGATCCTAGCACTCAGGAGGGTGAGGCAGGATTGCTATAAGCTCGAGGATACTTTGGGGCAACATACTAAATTCAACGTCAGCCTGGGATATATAGTGAGCTCCTATCTCGAAAACCAACAAGAAATAAATTAGGCCAGGTGTAGTGGTACATGTCTATAGTCCCAGCACTCAGGAAGGCTGAGGCACAGAGGATAGCATATTCAAGCCCAGCCTGGGCAATTTAGCAAGATCCTGTCTCAGAATAAAACACAAAAACAGCCTGGGATATAGCTCAGTGGAAGGCCCAGGATTCAATCTCCAGTACCAGAAAAATTTATTTTTAAAAAGGTGAAGCAGTAAAGAGGAAATAGAGGAGTTTTCAGGATGAACCACGGCTCTGGGTGAGGCTGTGGCCAGCAAGGTCCAGGGGGGTTTGGAGGAGGGAAGGAGGGAGACACTCACTGTGCTGCTCCCTGGTGCCTCCTGAGCTGACTTCAGGCTAGAGAAAGCAAAATCTGATGGCAGGCAATGGAAGAGGTCTTCTATACAAACTCAACTGGCCATTATTCACAAAGAAGGCAGAAAGAAATGCAGCGCATGGGGCCCAAAACACACCCCATTGGTTAATCGATGAGACCCACTGATTAATTCCAGTAGCCAATGGTACTTTACTGTAACAACTTGCAGCTTATTTTCTCTCAGCCCTACTCAGCGGGCAATGATCTTGCAGACCGCGCTTCCTGGATTAAGTAGTATGTGCATGACATGACCACAAGAGGGGGCTAAAGCCACTGAGCTGAAGCTATTGGACCTTGTTGCTAAATAAAGGTTCCTAAATCAATTCGTTTTCAGTAACTGCTGGGCTGCTTTTGCAAGCACTCTGATGAGCAAATGAAGGGTGTGTGGTATGGTACATCACACAGAGCTTTTCAGTTGGTCAAATGCATGGTCTATAAATCCCGGATGCAGCTATATAATGAAGAAAGACATTTCTTTTCTATGGAAAGAAAAATATGAATATTTGATAGAAAATTCTCCTCTACTAGATAAAGTGCTTTCAATTTTATATTTCTTAAAATATCTTTGTAATATAAACCTCATTATGTCAATCTTTCAAATAAATTATTGGTTATAGTTTAAAGTACTTAATTTTTTTAGACAGGGTCTTTCTATGTAGTCCAGGCTGGCCTTGAATTCACTATGTAGTCCAGGCTGGCCCCAAACGGTGATCCTCTTGCCTCAGCCTCCTGAGTGCTGAGATTACAGGCATGCACCACCATGGCCAATCTCAATTTTTTTCCTAGTAACTGTTAAGCAAAAATATTTTCAATTTACTCAAGGACAGGTGATGACATGAACATGAAAACATTATTCTCTCCTTGGGTGAATTAATTTATGCTTTGTAGGGAACAGGGGAAGGGGACGTTACTAGAACCTCTGCAATAAGTCCTAGTCTCCTGTGAACCATGGACAGCACAAACTTATTATACAGGAAAGGTAGGAAAAAATGAGACTGAGAAGAAGCTGAGCTTTGGGCCTGATCAGTGCTGCTCTGAGTAGCAAAGATGAAAGCCCCCAAGCTTGCCTCACCTTTATTCAGTACATTGGGAGAAACAAATGTAACAAATGACTGGGAGGCTGTGGAAATCCTAGAACACTGAGGAACTGAGTAGATGAAGATTTTGTTCCTCCCAGGATGTCTTCAGCTGGTGTAATCTTGTCCTGGAGCATCACAGCATCACCAGACCAGTGAGGTCTTAGCTGTGACCCCAGGCCAAAATGGAGTTATGTCTTGAAATGCCATAGCTGGCCTGTAGGCAGGAGAACTAGGCTAACCAAATGACTTTTCCCCAAAATTATGCAGAATTGCTCCCAACATATCTCCCTTTTTTTTTTTTTTTATGTGAGGGTGTTTTTAGGAAAAATGAGTGCACCCAACAATGGCTTGTCCCTATATATTGTGAGGATCTATAGTGTGTTTGACTGGCTTAGCTATCTATAATAAGCATAATTTCTTTTAATTTTGGCTGTAAAAAGATTAAAAATCTAATAATTTTTTTAAAACAATTTTGGCTAAAAAACTTAAAACTCTTGTTGAACTCAAATAAATATTATCTTCAGTTATACTTTTCTATTGGGTGTTTAAGACCAAGTTATGATGAGACCTATATTAAATAAAATTAACTTCTTGCTATCTAACAAGCTCAATTAAGTCTCCTCAGGCACTGTCTTGGAACCATGCATAGAGCCTCTTAGCTCCTCTGTCAGTGTCAACTGCCCAGTTATATCACAGCCTTGCTCGACCATGTTGCTTTCTGTGAAAGCATGGGAGATTTTTCCTCCAGGTGACATTCCTTTGGCACACTTTTTGTTGGATCTTACTGCTTTGGTGTTCAGCAACCTAGGGGAGCTCAGGAGGTTGGGTGACTCACCAAAGATGCAGGATCTTGGAGATGGTTCCCTAATGTCCTGGATCTTTTTGTTGTTTTTGCTGTTGACCTTGGAGGGCCAGGGCCAAAATATTGGCTGCCTTCTTGGCCCAGATACCTTTTAGTTCTGCTCTCTAAACTTTGGTTGTTGAACACCCAGAAGAGAAGATCAATAACATTAACATTGTAAGAGGAGTAGTGAACTCAACTATCATAATTTTACCCAGATATTAAGCATTTTGGAATAAAAAAATATAGTTAAAAGACTGTTATTATTGCCAATCATGGTTGCTTTAGTGGTTGAATCCCTAAGTAGCTATCTTTTTATAGGATGTCATCTAAGGAAAATGTATCAGCCTACAAATGTGCCTATTATCATAGGTGGCTGAAGCGTAAGAGAAAGGGAAATATCTGAATCAAAAGGTTATTACCATAAACAGTATGTTGAAAGACCTGTACAATTAGAGGGCATGAATACATTATGTACACCAGAAAAGGAGCAGTAATAAATATCACAATGATATAAAACCCTATGTTCTTCAATGTAGTTTAGTACCAAAAGCATCTAATAACACTCTTTTGTTTATGCTACAGAAATTAATCTTCTGAAGATGACCAATGTAGACATATCACAATAACATATTTAGAACTTAACCAATGAAAATACAAAAGAATCCACTGAAATCGGTATCCTAAAACACTTTATATTATTAAGCAGCTGTAGATTAACAGTTGACATGTTAAATTTCATACATACTTGACTTCGGATTTGACTTAATTTTTTCTTTAAATCCCGTGTCTCATCTTCTAAATTAATGCGATAATGTGATGAAATTTCCAATGAAGCCTCTGACATAGATTGTTTTTTTAGGGTGTCTGCCAGTTCTTGTTCAAGTTGCCTCACAACTACCTGAGAAAATATTTGTTACTGATTTTATAAATCACCTTATGACATGTTAATATTTAACTCACATATATTCTGAAAAATACCACCATGTACATCAGTTCATCTTTCTAAATCGTCTTCATGGCTCCTGTTTATTGCCGAGTTCACTTAGGGACATAGAAGGTAGTGTTTTCTTGCTCAATCACTCTTCTGTTACTTGAACACTAGAGTCAACCCTCTATCCACTCCTCTGATGAATTTGCAATGTTTACAACCTACTTAAGTCTCAAGAAGAAATGGGCACATGGGTGGGGCTGGTGGTGGTAAATTCCACATATTTTCCCTCATTTTTGTTAGAGACTCAAATTAACTTTAGAGTTATGTTAGAGTTTATATTCAACCCTCTGCTCATATCCCTCCAGTAGGTGCCTATCTCATAATAAAAGTGAGTTCCTAGGTAACATGGCCTTTACCTCTTTCTCTGACCTCAGCTGATACAACTCTCTCCCCTACACACTCTGTTCCTGCTGTATAGGAATCCCACCACCTGAATTCCTTAGCTGAAAATGGAGATTCAATGTCAAAGTAATATCACAGATTGCTATAATTATCTTTGTAGTGGATAATTCATATCCTTTACACAATAGGAACAGCCTCAAAATGAAAAGCACAAGAAAGTTACTTGATAAAATGTTCAATAAATGATATGTACCAGTAAGAAGATTAAATCAACTATGGTTTTGCTGTAAATTGCACATTTTCCCCAATTTATGATTTAATGAAAAGCTTATGCCTTTTAAAGAGTTGAGAGGTCCTAGGAATATATAATTTGAGATAAACATTTTCAGATTTAGGTCTTGACAACATGAATAAAAATAAAATTATATATATATAAATCTGGAATGAACTGTCAAAGTATCCCATTTAATTGAATCTTAATTTAAAAATACCCATGAGCATTTCCATTCATCATCTTCATCGTGGTCTTAAAGTACAGCAACACAAAGATGACAATTAGTTCATGGCTGGGTGCAAGTTAGGGATACAGCATGTATATAACATGCACCAGGCCTTGGGTTCAATTCCCAGCACTAAAAACAACACAAAGAAACCTCAGATCTAACTTTTTCTTTGTGGATTTCAAATTCAGTTCTATATAACTCTGAAAGTTTAAAAAATGTTTAATGAAGACATGATTTTTAATTTTCCGTATTTCTGCAGTACAGGTGACAGCTCAGAACATGCACAGCTGTGTGCTGCTGGGATCAGGGCAGCAGGGACACTCATCACCTCAGGGCTCACTCTGTCAGGAACCAGATCTGAGCTGTATTTGCTGCAAACAAGGGATGTTTCTGGGCTGATACAGGAGGCACATTTATAAACTATATACTTTTATATCCAACTAGATTAAACATTTATCCATAGTGAAATTTCACTTTGAGTTTCCTTTAGGAAGTTTGAAAAATATTTACCTTTCTTGATACTTACTTCTTTTTCTGCTTTCTCATTTTCATACTGATATACTCTTTCTTTTAAATGATTACATTCATTGATTAACTCTTTATTTCTGTCTTCTAGCATGAGACTTTGTTTTTTACTCTCACCTTGAAGTGTCTTCACAATATCATGAAACTGGTCTTGGATATTAATTAGTGTCCTTTCTTTATAGTCAACTTTGTTGTGAGCATCATCCAACTGCTGTCGAAGCAATGCATTTTCACTTTGTAGTTGAGATAATCTCTCTTCTATAGATTCCTGCTTTCCCATATATTTATTCACTTTCCCTTGTTCATCCTGATACATGTGTTTAATTTCTTTCATTTGACACTGTGTTTGCTTTAGGTCTCTTTGTACCTGTTCTAAAACTGAAGTCTTTTCTCTAAGAGCATCTCTTGTATGATGGAGCTCAATTTCTAGGCTATTGAATTTTCTTTCAGCTTTAGAAAGCTGTTGGGAAAGCATCTCATTATTATCTTTTAGGTTAGATATGTCAAAATTCAGTTTGTCCTGTAAACGAACCCACTCATCCCTTGCTCTCTGGAAAGCAAGTTCCACATCTCTTTTTGAGGTCTGACTTTCATCATAATTGTGTACAGCAGCAGCCAGTCTGGAACGGTATGATTCAATTTCTGTTTCGAGTCTTTCCTTGATTCGTTTTTCATTCTCTAGTTTAGAATTTAGCATTGTATTTTCTATTGTCAGACTATTAAGCTGTCCATTGGACTGAAATATTGTTTCCTCATTCAGCTTTATTGTCCTTTGAAGGTCATCATTCTTTTCATTTGCAATTTCAATATCTCCCAGATATTTCTTTTCCTTTACCTGGTTCTGATTTTTTATTGCATCTATTTCTAGTCTTAACCTGGTAATTTCATCCTGCAATCTGTGATTTTTATGCAACATATCTTCTTCATGACTAATAGAAACCTAAGTAAAACAAAAAAGACATTTAGCTAGCACTCAATAAAATGACATATTGCAATTTCCTCTGAAATTAAATAACCTGCATATTTATACAAAGAAAGGCCTGCAATAAATAGATATCCAACTGAGTAAAAGCTTACAGAAATGTCAAAGCTTACAGAAGTGTAACTTCCCAAAAGTTTAAAAAGTTTTTTAAAAAGTTTAAATGAAGGCACAATCTATAATTGTAAAAAAGAAACAGTAATTCTTAGGAATCTCAGAATTGGAAAAACTTTTTCTGAATTACAACAGATCTAAGACACAAAGTAAAAAACGTGATCACATTAAAAATCAGATTTACATTCTGATATCTAATGTATATAGCCAGTCCATAGTAGGGGCCTAAAGCTCTACAGGTATTGTAACAGATGAAGTTTTCTAAAGTTCTTTCAGTTCTTTTATCCTGGAAATATTATATAGTCCCTTTTTCTAACATCTTTGTAGTCAGTTGTAAGAATTAGTTATTGATAAATGCTAAATCTAAGTACCACACTAATAGTTCTACATACATCAAGAACTCATTTAGTTATCTAATTCTGAAAAGAAGAGGTTAAAATATAAGCAAACCAACCAGGTTTGCTCCAGGTCTTTGACTCTACACCTAGTACTCCTTCATCCAACCAGCTTTTTCTGTATTATAAATATATAAATAAAAAGGTTCATATTTTAAAATGCTTATGGTAAATGAGATAAAATTTGTAGCACTCCTCTTAGAAAATCCTGAGATAAGGTGCTGTTGCATAACTTTTTGTTTCCTTTTCAGTGTCTGAAATGCTAGTAAATGTGAAACAGGAAAAGACACTGAGCCAATTTAATAGAAACAAAATACCAGCTCTTTACTTGGAGCATACCATCACTCTTCTCAAAAGTGGAGAAATTCCATCCAAAATAGGATCTCTGCGGGCCACACTTTTCCTCCTCACCCAATAGTGCTGGTAATAAACAAACCTCCACATTAACACACCAATGGGGTGAAATCACTGTCTAAAACTAGAACATTTACTGTTAGTGACAAGGGTTTTAAGATCACGGAAAAACCATTAATACCTATGGGAAATATTAGAAACCTTTCCTTGAGGTGAGGCCATTGTGAATTTGACCACATGACTGCTGCAGACCACTGGAGGTCAATGAAGATCACTACTTTTTAAGTACAAAGTTGCACCACCCTCAACACGTATACTGTATTTAGTACACTCATAAATAGTTTAAAAATCTTCCATGCTTTCCATATATGTCTGTAGTTGGCCTTTAACATACTCATGTGGTTTTTTTTTTTTTGGTATTGGGGATTGAACTGCCTTTAACATATGTACAAAGACAAACACATGCATTTAAAAATGGCTAAAGAAAGTACCTCAGGACTCATTTTCTCTGGTGCCATTTCTATTTCCTTTTGTTCACAAAAGCGATTTGCCAGAATCCCATCTGGTAACATTCTGCAATTCTGTTCTGGAGAAAGTTGGCTCAGGGTGTCATTTTGTTCCTCTAAAACCTAGAGATGCATTTCATTATGTTTTACAACTCATACCTTTGGGGAGGGATCTAAAAGTTTACCAGCAGAACCTTTAAGGAAAAAAACTATTAAAAGGAAGCAGCCTATTAAAGCACAAAGACCTGTATGCCACATGAATGACTCAAAATTTAAACTGCATAAATGACAGCTAATCTTTGTTAAAGAGCAAAAACATTTATTAAATATAGGCACAGTATTGTGAAATAAAATTTCATTAATATTTAATTTCAAAGCTAGTTAACTTTAACATAAAAATACCTAAATTGACATTTATGTTCGCGATTAAACCCATCTTACTTTCCATTCCTTTATTCAAAAAAATATACTGAGCTATTAGATGTTAAGATTTATAATAAATATTTTTAGCTATAAATGTCATTAATTTTATAAGGGTGAGATAACATTTTGTTTTCAACCTAAATAATATAGTAATATGGTGTATAACAACATTTTGTTCAACAATGGATGGTACACTCAACTGTGGCCCTTAAGATTATATTATTACATTGCTCAGTGATGTGATAGATGCTGTAAGTGGACATGATCATACACTTATGGTGTTTGCATAATAATGAAATTGCCAAACAATACATGTCTTGGATCGTATCCTTAATGTTAAGCAACACATGTCTATATGTTAAATCAGAGAAATACTATAATATCGATAAGACAGAAATAGGAAACTTATCAAAGATTAATTTACCTGATTCAATTTATTTCTTACAGTCTTCAGTTCAATATCTAGTGTTCTAAGAGAAATTTCAAGTTGCTGTTTTGCTTCAACTTCTTGGTAATATTGCTCTTCTTTTTTTCTTAACTGTTCTTTAATTTTTTCATAAAACTGATCAACATTTCTTCTCTTCTCCTCTTCTTGTTGTAAGGCAAATCTGCAGTTAAATATGCTTATTTAAAAATGCAGTTTGTTAGAGAATAAAAAGTTCATTAGTGATCTGGCTCTGCATATGTTGATTTGTTACCCTAATAAAATTTCTATATTTTCAAATATTTTTTGTTCCTAGTTTTCATATTTTAATTCTCTCACTTCAATCTCTTCTAAAGGACACACACACTTGAAGGGTAGTAATAAAATAATATTCTGTTGAATTTGTTACTATTAGAGCTTGTAAACATTATAGAAAAGGAATTTTGAAATTAGTAAAGTTACAAATTTAAACTATTTTTTAGCTGGGTGTGATGGAACATGCCTGTAATCAATCCCAGGTACTAGGGAGGCTGAGGTGGAAGGATCATCAGTTTGAGGAAAGCCTGGGCAACCTGGCGAGACTGTCTCAAAAAAGAAAAAGAGGGCTGAGGATGTAGCTCAGTACTCCCTGGGTTTAATCCCTGGTACGGGTAAACAAAAAGAGAAGCAAAAAAGCAAAAGCAAAAACAAAAACAAAAACACCCCTTTTTTACATAGTCATTACTCCTCAATTAAACATAAACTTAACTAGGTTTTTCAAATGTCAATGTTTATGCCGGGGATTTAGCTCAGTGGTTCCAGAGCCTGCCTCAAAAGCGCAAGGTCCCTAGTTCGATCCCTGGTACCAAAAAAAAAAGTCAATGTTTACAAATTAAAGATAAAATTTGCTTTTATGAAACATTACAGGTATCCTTAAAATGATCTATACTGTAAGACAGGACCTTCAGATATTTTTTTACCCAACATGTCACTATATAATCCAAGACAGGGCTAAGGAGTCTAGTACCTGTTATCACACTTTCTATGTTTATTTTGGGGGATAATTTCAACTTACTTGTTGACTATTAGGTATTTTATAAACAATTTAAACATCTCTTTGGAATAAGACAGGATCTAAATATTTAACCCAAAACAGTAATATATTCTTTCAATACAGAAACATGAATTAATATTACCTGTGAGAGAGAAGTTGGATAAACTAATCAGTGTCACTTTCCATTTGCTTTTTATTTCATGCATGCTGAGAATAACAGCTGGGGGAGGAAAATGAGGAGAAGGAAGAGGAGAAGAAAGAGGAAGAAAACTACACTTTTAAAAACATTCTTCTAGGTTGAAAAAAATGGCTGTTATGCTTGTGTCTAATGTCCTACAAAGCTTCATGAGGTCACAGGTGGAACCTTTTCAGAGGTGGCTGAATCTAGAGTGCCGTGATGCTGGGATTAAGGATGTGTGATTACTAAATTGGTCTACTGATTTGTTTGGCATAGCTCTGAGTGATTTTAAGGGTGCCCCACCCTGGGTGTGAGTGCTACCCAAAGTAAGGGTGGGTAGCTTGGGTAAAATATAAGGGATAGAAAGAGGGATAATGTGGTCATTTGTCACTTGAGGCTTTCTACTTCACTGCTTTACTGACTTCTACCTGCCCTGCTTTGCCATGGACTGTTTCTCCTCTGTGATGCCCCTCTGCCATGACACCCTGCCTTGGAGCCAGCCGATTATGGACTGAAACCTCCTATAAATGGTGAGCTGAAATAAACCTTTCCTCCTTTAACTCTGGGTATCTCAGCAACAAGAAAAGTAACAAAGACAGTGGCCATTTCTATTGTTGGAGAAACTGTAAATTAATATAAACTTTCTTGAGAACACTTCAGAAATGCTGATCAAAGATCTTTTAAATAGTTCTTATACTTCAGTAAAATAATCCTGCATTAAGGATTAAAGCTGACCCTTGAAAAACACAGATTTGAACTGTACAGGTCAGGTTTTG